ATTGGTTTTTACCATCCCGAGGGCCCCAACCAGGAAGTCTACATCTTCCTACGTGGCTTAGATTAACTGTTGTGGATTTCATTGATTGGTGCCATGTTTTCGTTTGACCGCCGCTAGCTCTTTTCCAGCCTCACCCTATATCAGCTAACATTGCCCGTCGACGAAGGCGATGACTAGGCATACGTAGCACATGTCCTAACCATCTCAGTCGATGTAATTTCACAGTCTCGTCGACTGATTTCCTCGCCTTACCTAGCACTCGACGCCTAACCTCAATATTGCTCACCTTATTATACCACTTCACGCGGGAGATAGAACGCAGACACCTATGATCGAAGGCAGTTAATCTTTTCATGTCATCTGCTCTCAATGGCCAGGTCTCACAGCCATAAAGGAGGACGGAGCGGACTGTTGAGCAGTACACACGCCCTTTGGTCGATAGTCGGATATCGCGTCTACGCCAGAGACGGCGAAAACTGGCGAATGCGAACCTAGCCCTCTGTATTCGTACTGAGATTTCGTCAGCGATCAACCCGTTGGAGCTGATGGTACTTCCCAAATAAGTGAAGCAGTTAACGTGCTCTACCACTTCACTTCCTATTTCTAATCTAGGGGTCGATGAAGTCCAATCCTGCAGCATCATCTTACATTTTATAGGGGCGAATCGCATGCCAAACATGCGGAGATTGTTGCTCAGGGTGTTCAGTAGACTCTGCATTTTGTCAGAGTCCTCGCCTAGAAGGACTATATCGTCTGCATATTCTAAGTCAACGAGATTCTCCCCTGGTAACAAGTCAATCCCTGAGTCGCTAAAGTGAGTTAGGGTTAAGTCCATTAGTACATCTATGATGAAATTGAATAGGAATGGGGATAATGGGCATCCTTGGGCATCCACTAGTCGTCACCACTTCAGATGACAACTCGCCATAAGCCCTCACCTGGCTGATGGCATGAGTACGAGTAGAGTGCCTTAATCAGTGCAATGTATTTTCTTGGCATTCCCTTTACAGCCAAGCATCGCCAGAGAACCTCCCGGTCGACAGAATCGAATGCCGCCTTTAGGTCAAGAAATATAATGATTGTCGGACGCCGGTAGGAATGCCTATGTTCTAGAATCTGTCGAAGGGTGAAGATGTGATCAATACACCCTCTACCTGGCCTAAAACCTGCCTGGTTTTCTCGTGTTTGTGTCTCCCGAGCACCACTTAATCTACGCAGTATTATTGAGCCTAGGATTTTAGATACTATATTAGTCAAGCTAATCCCTCTGTGATTATCACAAGACGACTTGTCCCCCTTCTTGTATATCGGGATGATCAGTGACTTACACCAACCCGATGGGACTTCCTCTGATTCCCAGACGCTGCCTAGAACCTCCGTTAACGCAGACAGTAAACTGTCGCCTCCGTACTTAAATACCTCTGGAGTCAATAAATCAGGTCCCGCTGCTTTGCCTAGCTTCAGATTGGTGACAGCTTTAGTAACCTCGGTTAAGGACGGAGGACCTGTGTCTATCTCCCATTCAGGGAGGTGTTGGATGTCCGGTAGGTTAAGTGTGGCTGTGGGCCAATTAAACTGCTCCTCATAGTGTTCTTTCCAGCGCTCCAGACGTCTATCCTGGGAGCTAATTGTGGTGCCATTTTTCTCGGAGATTGTTTCGCTTATCATTTGTTTTTTACCACCTGTTTCCCTGATAAGCCTGAAGAGTTGTCTGGTGTTGCCTATCGCCGATGCTTTTTCCATCTCTTTCGCCTTTGTCAACCACCACTGTTCACGGTCCTTGCGGAGACTTTTCGTAAGTTTCCTCTTGTGCAGCTTTCGCTCCTCATTGAATTCGGAGCTCGCCGACCGAAAGCTGCTACCTTGACGTGGTGGTCGGGCTTGAACACTGCAATGACCCAACAAGCTATACTGGCTGGAACTTATGTTCCTGCAGGTCCTACCATGCCAGAAAGGTTGTTTGGATAGCAGTTAGACTAAAAGCAGTTACCCAATCCAATCCTATGATTTCAAATAAATCACAAAATATCATGCCGGATCGGTCGGGGCCCGGATTAACAACGACCGCGCTTTCTGCTGCCGTGTCACAGGGCAGAAGTGATAAATACGCTACTGAGACACACCAAATAAAAAAGAACAAACAAAAACAGGCCGTGTGTGACCGGCCTCAAGCAGTTGTCCCCTGGGCTCTGCGGTCACGCAACCAACTTCCACGGTGTGGGCAGCCGGGAAGTAACAATCGCCCTCACAATCCGAAGTGCACGCGAAACCCCTCTAATCCTCGCTCATCTTTGTCTTCATCTTCATCTCTATTATCTTGCCTTCCTTCTACCAATGCAACTCCTCTACTTGTTGGCTCTTCACTTCCCCTTCACTCTGTGTGCACTGATAACGATGGAAGCCAAAAAGCCACCAGTCATCATGTGCTGACGAGTATCGGTGGTCGTTATCCTGATGATAGACAGATCAACTGATTTCAACGAACCAATCAACTATTGGATTTTGAAATTACTAATACTGTTTTTTCTTCAAAAATAAATAAAAGCTAAATTTGTTATAACCATTTCTGTCTACAAACTCAAAGATTGAGCGAAGAAGTAGATCTTCGTTTTTGACTTCAATAAATATGATAATTTTAATACTATGTAGAAATCTACCAATCTATTGGTGATAAGTTTGTTAACTATAATTAGTCAGTATCAACACATGCCAAAGGGATGATAATTAACCACGAAAATTAATGCGAACAATACTGCTCCACTGTGTAATATGTATATATCCAATAAACAAACTACATACTACTACTATACTGCCCAATGTGTAAACATATGTTAATCGTTTTACCCCAATTTTATGGTAGATTCAAACTGGACAAACAAAATATCCCGCCTTTTACCGGTCGTTCTCGTTTCCGGAACACCCCCCCCCCTTCCAAAAAATACAATTTATCCAACTCTACAGAAAACTAAAATATTTAGCGAATTACTGTGATCTCTAAGTTTATTCGTATGTATGCATGCATGACTCAAGATGTACTGACACAATTATGGGATAAGATACAAAAAAAAGTCAAATCACATGACCATTTGATAAAACAGTGCATTGTCTTTCATGTCCAAGCTGATGAAATTTAACATCATTTACACTTATGTTTGCGACGTAATAAAAGACACGGTGACTCATCATAATGACTGACAGTATACAAGACAATATATGACATAAAAAAATAGTTTACACTATATGTTTTGAATGATGAGTGGACTAGAATTTGGATACATTTATCCTAATCCATTTGAATAATAGTCTGACGATAGGCTTCATACTGTGCCAGTTTAACGACCTTTACATGAGGTAAATAATAATTTCGCAGGTGAGTCTCACCTAACCTAATTTAGCCTGAATGACTGAACAGCATCATTCACACACACTCAACCTAGTCATCATAAAGTCACACAATTTAATGCACCTAAGTTCTAGCTAAAGAGATATTTTCAGTTTTTAATGGGATTTTTAAATTTTCAATGAAGTCTTACATTAGATAAGTTATCTGAAAGTTGTATTGTAGACACTACTGAGTGTTTAGTGTAGAAAACAACACCAATTAGGAGGCATGCGGTTACCAATTGACAATTAACTAAAAGACAAATCTACTTTTTGTACCTAAACGACTGGCATGAACAAGAAAACATCCATGCAACAGCAATATATATATATACATATATTCTTCAAGTAATTTTAGATGGGTGTGTCAGAGACGTCACGCAAAAGATAATGGGGTCTTTACTTCGAAAGAACACTTATTTTTTTATCATCAGTTGAATACCTCACTATCTTCAGAAAAAAAGTAAATTAGCAAACACTAAAGAGGACTTTTGGATATATATATGTGTGAGTCACGCAGAAGCATCTTACACTCGCCAGGTTTATTTTCACTAATAGACAATGTGTCTCGTGAAATGGTGTCAGCTGCATAAACCATCAAGGAGTAAGATTTGTTGGCTATCTCTTTAACCTTGATCAGTATTTGAATGAACACTGACATCTGCTGGCTTGCTTAGGTTTTATCACTCAGAAGCATAGAAGCGTTACCTTATCATGCCTTCTTTTAGGAAATTTGTCAAAATGTAGTTGTGTTAACTGCCAAGTTATTTCCTCTCTTAATTCGTTTACTTAACAACATTTTATCTTTGCTACGAATTAACTGAATTAAAGTTATGCTAAATTAAGGTATTATCTAATTGAAGCTAACTTTAATATGATCCCCATCGCACTGTCAATTCCCAAAGGGATCTGCAAAATAGAAGTTGTCATCATCATTTTCCTGTTTCATCATGAACATAATATAATGTGAATTAGCATTAGGAAAACTATTCGCATGTTCTATTTTTTTATGCATAATATGGACACTATCAAAATAATTAATTTGTATAGCATGAAGTGTTGTTTCCCATTTGGTAAGTATCAACTAGGTTCTTTTCACATTATATTAAATATACCACTGAGATCTAGCAACAATAGCCAGCTTAAACATATAATGTCTGTTAAACAACAGAGTTTAATTTAAAAGAACTGAAAGTGAACTATTCCAATCCTTGCTAACTGCTTCAATCTACTGACTTTTAGTAAACGCATATCGGAAGTTAGCAAGTCTCTTCAGCTGTGACTGAGTCTTTGAGAATTTTTTTGTAATCGATTAAACAACATAAAATCTACTGACTAGATTCTAAACTAACAATCTGTTTGACAGTGTGGTAAGTGAAACACAAATGTATGTTATGAAGAAGATAGACTGCAGGATGTTGCATACTACTCACGGGTCTATATGAGTAGTTGGACGACACCCACATCATCCAGCAGTACTTGCTAATCAGATCTAAGTGACCTAAACACCGGATGACCGTTTAGCTTGTTTCGGACTGAACTCATCAGCAGTATGCCCCGTGGCTAGTAACCAATTAATTTGAAGTGAAATTGGAAAAAGACAGGCGTTCACAACTTACCTTTCCAGCTTTACAATTGATCGCAACAACATTTTTAGGATCTTTACTAAGAAATTCATTCACATCTTCACATAAGGCAATAATCTGTTCAAATTGTGGTGCATTATGGTCAGAGAATGGATATTTTGCTACAGGACCATCAAAACGATAAACATTAAAATCTCGTTCATCACATCTAAACAATAAGACGAGAAAAGAGAAACAGAACAAAATGCAAAGACTGAAGTTAAACATTGTGGGACACATTATACATATATGTTTTTTAAAATACGTATCTTGACGCACTACCATACGAAATTCAGATTTCTTTATAACGAGTTAGCAAAATAGAGGAAGGCTTGCATGTTTTCCCTGTGTACATTGCTTACCAATATGCTCACACAGTTATCCAAAACAGCAAAGCAATTTCTAACGCAAAAACAAATGAATACTTTAACACTGCTAATTTTATTATGTTTAGAATCGTGTACTACAATATTTAGTACAAAACTTACACATTGCATGTTTGAAACAATCTGTTTTCACTCAAGTAGTTTAAAAGAGAGAATGCTAACAAATAGGATCTTTCACTTGTAAGTAACCCACTTGGTTCACTGATGACATACACAAATTAGTATAGCAATACAGACTGTTAGTGGAAAAGTGGCTTAACCACTTAACACCCAGCCAATATATATACCCAAATCAAGCCCTACTACACTTAGTTCAACCTGCGAAAACTAAAAGTACCATAAGATCTTATTTAGTGAGTCCAACTCATAACCTAGTACCGGGATCAGGCAACTGGATTATACTTATAAGATTTTAGTGAAGAGTAATGTGACAGTGAACATATAAAAAACCAAACCAATGGGCTATGCTTGCCCACTTCACAAAAAAGTGAACCGATAAATAGAGCAATGTATACTTACTACAAAAAGATGAATGACCTTGAACAGCCAATCAGTGCAAAGCTCAGACATGAAATCACTAAATGATTTCAAAACATACCGTGATAACTTCCGAATAGTTAATTAAACAGCGTAATTTTGAAAGCTGTTTAACTAACATATTCCGACCAGACGTGAGGTAGTAAGCAGTAAAACTAAACTAAGCTAGGTATAACCACATATCCTAATGTAGCTGCTACTTATTATGCAGACTACTGAGCTGTAAAGCTATCATTGCGCTCCCGGACAACTTCTTCAGCACTAATTCCAACCTGAAGTTAGCTTTGAAAATTCTCTATGGGTGAAATATTTCCATCTCCTGTTGACTTTCAATATGATTGGTTGTTGCTGTAGATTACTTTATGATTGTATCCACTTGGAAAGATAAATATTTCAGTCATGCATAATTCTAAACAGCCACCTCGCATCAAAATCAGAGATGGGGGTGTTATCCAGCTCGGAGAACACAAAAATACTCGAAGCATTCACCTGAGTTACCAATCTCCACGATTCCAATAACTATTTGACTCAATTTGTCCGGATGAAACTGAGACGCTGCCAGTAGACGTTGCTCAGTGCTAATGTTTTACTTATTTTTTCTATCATTTCAACCAGTGTAAACAGATATGAAATGAATCTAATTAGTACGCATACATTAAATAAGTCCTTATTAGAATGAATATCCTAATTTATACTTTAAATTTTACAGACATTGATGACTCGATCCAAATTAAAACACCAACAAACAGACATCTCAACTTCTTTTTACCCCAGCACTTTAAATCTATTTACAAGCTAGGCATCGAAATTCCCGTTTCCACTTTTAAACAATGGTAGGAACTATAAACTTAAATTCAGCTAGATTTAAACGGAGTATACACAAATTAAGTTCCTCATTACAATAATCTTTGTTCAGAGTAAAATAAATCCTGGATAAATAAAAATGATTAGCTTACAAAATCCTGAATACAGTAACAGTAAAGCCTAGGTATATCAAAAATATTTATTCAATAGGTCAAAAGTGAAGATCAGAAGGAGTTGTCATACTTAAATAATAACAATAAATCAGTCAAGAATTCACAAGTTTTATCGTAAAATACCGTTCAATGTTTAAAACACACGGCGTGTACAAGATCGAAGTGAATGGATGAAGACTAATACATACTGTCAAATGTAAACAAACACATAAGCTGAACACAAGAAAGATTGAGGTGTAACACAACAACAACTTCTTTACCTGATCAATTATGAATAGCACAGAATTTTTCATGTTTAATTTAAGATGATCACTAATGAATGAGAAAATTACGAGGAATTAGCAAATGTCAGTTAACAGCATTGAGATAGGAAAAACAGCATGAGCTATTTATGTAACGACTTATATATTTTAAATATCTTTTTAGAATGGCGTCACTTCATGAAAATTCCTAATTAAACTAAGTTTATGAAACTGCAAATTTGAATGTCTACATACATACAGGCAACAGTAAATACTGTCTAGGAAAAAATGTTAGTTCGTTGAGAAAAACATTCCAGAAAGAGTGAACACCATTAGAAAATATGTGGAAAGTGAATCACAAGAATCACCAGTGATCTCTCCTCACTAAAATATAAACTAGGGTCCAACGGAATAAGTGCCAGGGTCTTTTGATTACTTTACCATACCAACATTCACCTTATTGCTGAAGTTTAATAGTTCTGCATACTCAGCATTCAATTTCGGATATGAATTGAAAAGTAATTCATACATCTCAGTATAAGAAAATAATTAGTCTCTTCGACTATCATATAATAACCGGACAGAAATGCATGTCATGCATTGATGACGTTTACTGAGCAGAACTCTTATTACAATCTGTAAAGAATGTCAAGTCTTCTTCTTGGCCCTTGTAAAAAAAAACTTGATACAGGTAAGCAAAAGATTGAAGTGAAGTTTCAGTGAGTGACTTTATTGCACATCCCCACTAATTTTAACATCGTAGTCCATTGCTATGATGGTTTACTGACAAGTTATATTTTCTGTATTTTTTCTGAATGAAATTTTGCATAAAAACTTTTTTCTAGCTTTCTTATTATCCGCGGTATTATACTCTTGATCAGAAATACATTTGCTGAACTTTTATCAGAAAATGTCGCTTGATACTGATATCTACGCAATGTAGTGGATTACAGGATGCAGTAAGTTCAAAAATTAAGCATATGTTTTTGGATTTTCTTGAAATCCTGCTAGCATATTTGGCCTATTTATTGAAATAAAACAATATCCACAGGAAAAAGCGGATGGCGCCACTTCAAAAAAGGATATGCTGTATAATCGCCCGTTTAGTTTAGGATCTTGGTTTGCTTTTGAGTGCATTTTACAGCAAACACACACAGCACTACTGTATAGTGCGCAGAGTTATTACACTTTATACTACCACACCAACCAGAAAGTAATAAAAAGCGAAACAACAAACTGAAAATAATAAAGTCAAGGGCCGAAGAGTTCTAGGGCTCAACAATGAGAATGAGACAAAATGATAAATAATATACTACTAGAGAGGCGTGAATGCATGTGTCACTGGGATTGATTCCCGGCAATATCATCCTGACTTTCTAACCATAGACTGATGTATTTACCTTGACGCCCACCATACAACATACAGTTCTCTTAATGACCCATTAAAATAGTCAATAACTTCATAGATCAATGGTAAACTTTGGTTTATCCACAGTTCGCTTACTTACAGCGTAATCTTACCTGCGTCGACATAAAGAGATAAAGTGAAAAGATGTCCTAGCCACCTCAGGAGACATTTTGTAATTTGTTCAATGAAAAAGAACTCAGAGCTTAACTTTTGAACTGTTAACAGAGTTGTTTCACTGAACTCCAGCTGTACAATGAAAGTAAAGTACCAAGATTCTTTGTATGCCCTCTATATTTATAGTCACGTTTCGCATCGCTGAAGTAATGCGGGGCACACTGCTACGCGGTACAATTGACCTTTAATATCTTGTCTGAACCATTCACGGCACAGTTTGATGAGGGGACTAAATCTTTTCAGTACGTTTGCCCGACAGGACCATGTCATTTGCATGTACTAAATCAACCGGAGTATCACATTTTTTTATTTACCTCATCTTTTACACAATTCGACACTTGGAGTTATTTAGTCCTCCACTTCTTTGTATCCTTTTATTTCCTCTTGTTTAATGTGCTAACGTAAGAAGTGAGAGCGTCACTATGTATCAATCAAGAGTTATAAGTAGATACTTGTCTCATTGTGGAAATGTGTGCCACTTAAAATTAACTCTGCAGTGCATTTACTGATGTCTGACTTAATGAAGTAACAGGTTCCGCTTCACCTACTTCAGCAAGGGCAACTGAGAAGTATTATTCACACACGATAAATGTGGGTTATAACCCAGCACTGGATAACTGAGTTCTATAAATAATAAAATAAGACATAATGGATTTTTTTATGTTCACAAGTAAACTGTTAAGTATTTTATTCCATAAAATAATTGACTTACAAATGGTAGATTTTATAATGATTAGCATGCCTTGTTTGCAAGAAACGAACAACGTCGTCAATATGGTTGCGATAAACACCTTCAAATTTCGCGGCCGGAAATCCCATTGCGATAATTCTACTTGATATATAACTTAAGTCCAAATCAAATCCATCTTGTTGGAAACGCCTTTTATGCCGACTAACGAGACCTTTCAGTGTTCTTGGCATTATTCTCAGTAGAAAAAGCCACGTTGTTGACGGACCTTATTTGGTATTCCAGAGTAAACTACAGAATAAATGAGGAAAAGTAAACGACTCGTTAACATCCAACTGGCAGGGAGAAATATGAAGAACTGTAAACATCTCATTTTCAATGTGGACTTGCTAACTTGGAGAACAGAAACAACTCTTATACAAGGATAGCAATAAAGTTGATATTTTTAGACTATTTAATAAGACATGCAAGGTGCAATACAGAAATGAAGGGAGATACTTGAGCAGTAAGACAACGCTAGGCAAAAAACTTAAAATAAGGCTTTATTAGACTTGCTAGAAACACCGTCGGATTGGAATCGTTTGCCGATGTAAATACTTTTACATATCAAAATGAGTTTACTACCACTATCACCTAAAACGGATCCACGTAATAAATGAAAAAACGAGTCCGAGATGTTTCTTGATGATGTATTCCCAATACTTGAACATATAATATTTTTTACGAGCTACAATTTAGGAACCAATACTACTTTACATATCTAGTTGGTAGAATAGTGTGAGTACGTGACAAATAACGTAAAAATAACCAAGAGGACATACAATTGCATGTCATTTAACTTTGTATAAATTAAAATCAGTAGTAGAAATAAACACAGAATGTGAAACAGAATTTATAGCAAATATTTCACTTGGAAATCAAGTGTGACGGAGGAAGAACTCATCTAAATATTTCAAACCCCAGAGTAGTTGTTGTAAAGTTTTAAAAATAGGTTTTAATCCTGTTGTTTTATATGAAACTGAATACATGAACACGAGTAATCAAATGTGTGTATAAGAACTTCAGTCTGATGCATACGAACTATCCATGGTGTACATCAGCTTTGAAATCTAACAACGAATAGAGCACGAACTTCAAGAGATTGAGAGCAGAAGGACGCTATCTAATTCTAACATTTAGTAGAAGATCCGACGAGGAAACTATTACAGAAAACTGCAATACATTCTATGCCAAATTCCTTCGAAAGCATTTAAATGGTTTCCTTCCACTTGAATCTTAAAAGTGCAAACAGATATTATCAAATTTAAAAATTCAGGCTGTCAAAATTAATTTACGTGACGCTTAAGGAAAACAGTATACAAGCAGCAAAACGTGAATAAGCTTATAACAAAAATGTCTCTGATTACTAGGTGACCATGTGATAGTACAGTTGAATAAGAAGTAGTAACTAAACTGAATACCTGAATATTGTTAGAAAATTAGCCCGTTCTCATAATAAATAGGGTGTTATTGTGGACGGCGCTACTAGCTCCCTCAAATCTACGGCAGGATATTACACAATTTCAATAGTTTTACTTTATATAAGTGGGCAAAGACCACGAAATATTTAGTTGATACGACTAATTATTGCATAAAAATATGTTGTGGTAACAATACAGGATACGCTACATCAAGAATAATGCGCCAATTTATTTTCCAGCAACAATTAAAACCTCTCAAATTCAAAATAACCGGTATAAATAAGCATACAATACGCAAACATAAAAATCGATACTTACTGGATTTTCTGACCTTGAATCATCCAACGCGCATTTTCTCTAAGTGGTGTCCAATATCAAATAACTTTTCTTCGAAGTATTATCAATTAACTATAATTGATTGCACCATGCTGTTTACAAAAACAATATCAGCTGTGTACGTTTGGTGAATTCATGAGAAATTAGTGGGACTGCTTGACTTGGTATGATGTACAGTTGTCTTATGCTTCGAAGAGATTTCCTACACGTTACCTACCTGTTTGTAGCTGAATCTCACTTCATTATCTGTGTTCTGTCAGCTAGAGTGTCTTATCACGTAACAGTTCCACAGAATCATCATCATCTCGAAAACCGCTTGAAGTAGTGTTTCGGTTATTTTAGAAGCATCTAGTTAATATTCTAAGGACTGGTTACACAACTGCTACTACCTAAGCATGCCGCTTAGTTATCTTTCAGGCACGCATCCATTGTGAGGTTCTTGGATAATGCTATCTCCTGTCTCCTCTAGCCTTAGAGTTTCATAGAATCCCAAGAGCAATGCATGCACCATTTATCAGCATGTTTCCTGAAGAGTTTCAGTGTACTTCATGCCTGCAGTATACGTATGTACATCGCTTAGGACTGCCAAAAATGCCAGGCTCATTCGGTAGACTCATATTTAAAATCTGTGTTTATGGTTGTCGCTCACATTCCGTGGTATTGTAGTGTAGCACTGAGGTTATTGGTTCCATTGATTTTGCATGGCTGTGATCACTAGATGCAACCAAGTTTGTTTTGATGGTGACCAACGATTCTGTTGCAACATTTTGAGACAGAGGGCGAGATATTGTTAGATTTAGTAACATCACTTAATGAGTTCAATGTCAACTCTAAGTCGCGGTTTCTCTCTCGTCTGTGTAGACATACGTTGCTTTTACTGATTCCGCTTATTCTCCAGTAGGAACACGACGACGATAAGTTTAACACTTAGATAGGTATTTAGATTTCGAGTTCTCATAGATTTTTAGGGATCCAAGCTGATATCAGGATTGTCTGATGTTATTCTCACCAACTGAATGGATGGCAGGATCATGGCTACAGATTAAAAATTTAATATTACAGCTAACCTGTTTTCCGGCTGAAACCAACCAATCGCCGTTCTTTACCCTTTTGTAATCAAAATGTGTGAATCGCCATGGTTATACACTCCCTTTGGTGGCTTGGGTACTTTTCTAATTCTTTTATTTTGGAAAAATCATAGTTATCTCAGTTTCTTGCTTTTTCTAATGATGTCTGATATCAGATCAGCCTATGTTTCCACTAGTATTATTCAAGATGTAGCATCACTTAGAGAGCACCTTCACCAATAGTGTTGAGGAGCTGAGTCTCGTAACGACGGTTAGCTGATTACTTAAAGGTAAGTACAGCAAAATGGAACACTCTAGTTGGGCACTGTCACAAGCTCATTCCATCCTGTTTGGTAGAGAAATCGCTTGCACCAGTGATGGCTCTAATCATGATTCTTTCAGAGATTTGTAATCCAGAGAGAGACCACAGAGTGGGGAGGAGTACATCTGGTGTCTTTTATGCTATTCACCTGCCCACTCACTAATGTGTATGTAAATTATTGTGCCAACTGAGCTTGAGAGATTAAAAGAACACTAACTTCTAGTGAAGAGTTCAGAATTACTGCTGTTCTTCCTCCTCCATTTCCTTGCATTCCATTCGGAACATAGTTTTTTAAGCTTCTTATGAAGTTTCACTGGCAGCCATTGTTCTTAGTTTGTAGAAGGATCATAGTGCTCGCCTTACTAACTAATCAGTGTGGTGGGCAGCAATCCTTTAAAATATAGCTTACTACATGGACTGGATGATATTAATCATAGAAAGGTTTCTTCCGTTTTAGTGTTTTGACGTTGCACTTCTGTAATTTAAGGCGAACGAAACAATTTGATCAATGTTCCTTGCAGTGCTGTCGATCTTTGGCTGTTCTCGTTCGAATGAGTCCTTAAATTCAATCGTCCAGAGTTTTTGGAGTATCTCATTACTCGAATTCCGTCCAAGCTTAAGTGAAAATGAATCTGCTGACTACATTGTGAACGTCATCCATTCACACTGTAGGGTCTGTTAAGTGTGTAGGATGGAAACTTGGTTTGCAGGTTGTTGTTAATTCCTTGACAGTCACAGAATTTATTTCTCTACGACAGATTGCTAAATACTGTTGAAAGTCATTTTTCCAAGCTTCCCGAGAGGCGTTCGAAAACGTCTGATGATGAACGACTGCATCAGTTCAGAATGTGGTTTTTGCTACATCCTTTTCCAATAACAATAAAAACGGAATTTCGCTTGTAGGAGTTACATTTAATACCAGGGTAACTTTGGGTAACTACGCAACTGTGTGTCAGCCTGCACTTTTATAAAAAGTGCTTTCGAATTCGTGGTCCTGGTACTTTTCACTTGCGGTTATATGATCCGCTTCATGCAGAATGCTAACAGAGCACCATATCATCATGTATCCACCTGTTTAGGTATACGGAGGTCTCATATGCAGGTTAGCATGACTGCGATAAAGCAACTCAACTTGGGTTATCTGCTAGAGTCGGATCACCCGTATTTGTTGTCTCTTCCTGTGGGATTTTAGTACTCTATATTGTGGCTGTTGTTACCACTGAGTATGAAGTGTTCAGATATTAGGATACGGTAGCGTCTAACATGTTTATGGTTGACGCATTGTCATTATTCAGGTCGGTTATTAAGTGCAAAAGAAGAATTAGTGCAGATACGAAAAAGAAAGAATGTCAACATTTATCTGTCGCGTTATTCAACTTTCCAGAAGTCAAGCGTCGTACGAAAAGTTCCTATATATGTGAAGAAAGTAGGTGTCAGTAATTTCAAACAGATGAACTTTCAGAGGCTGACGGTATCGACGTTCGCGAATAGTACGGAGTATACTAACGCGAGATCTTATACCAACAACTTATATAGTATTCGTTCCTCGTGTACCAAAGGCAAAGCAAAAGGGCAAGATTGACCGTCCAAAGTACGATATTTATTTCGGGACCAAATCGTGGACTGAAGTGCGCTCCCACTTCTTTTCCCTGCAGGTTTGCCGTCTCTGGAATTCCTTACCGGCAGATGTAGCTATGGCACCATCTGTGGACGCCTTTAAGCGGAGGCTGGACAACCATGCAGCGACACAAGGACTGCATCCAACTGGCCTATCCCCTTAAAATCGCATACACCATTCAAAGGTAGACAATTAAACTGGTCGTTTTACTTCTTTACATTCTCTTCAGTCTTACTCTCCTGACAGCTTTAACTACACCTATTATTATTATTATTATTATTACCGAAATATATATATATATACCGGTTGACTGACTGTTGTTACGTTTTCTTATTCTTTTTCTGTCTGTTAGTCTGGATACCTTCACTAATTATACCTATTATTATTATCTCTCTTCTATTGACGATGATACCGAAGGACCAACTGGTGA